TAGTTGTCCACAATGTTACGTTATGTTGTACTTATTCCTTAGTTAATTTCGAATACTATGTTTGTATGTTTAGTCTCTAAGTGTTATTTAAGGGAAGGGATGTAGAGTTGTTAAATGTTGCCATAGCCCTTTAAGGTTGGTGTTATACGGGAGGAGGCGGGTCATCAGGTTTTAGAAAAAAAGGGACACAGGCAGACAGATGTAAAAAAAGGAGAGTAACCAGAAGGAAATAAACAATACGTTCTGTTGGCAATCCTGTTCTGCGTTGTATCAGTTCTTAAAACAATCTACAATATGTACAGGTGTTCTGCCCATGTGACTCCCAACCCTCTGCACCAAGCTCTAAGCAGTGAGAACAGTCTGTTTAGTCATTCACAGTGCAAAAACAGGTGGGCTACAGTTTCTTCTCTACCACAGAAGAGACACTCTCTGCCTCTAGGGGGGTCGAGGTGTGCCACAGGTCTGTTTGTAGCTATGGTCCTACGTAGTATCTGCTCTTGTGGAGCAGCTGTGCAGTTCTTTATGGATAGCTTGTACATGGACCTCCAGCCTTGTTTGTAGGGAAGAATCAACTGTTCTGTATAATGTCACTGTTCAATCCAGCCAGAGAGCCACTATACACAAACTTAATGCAAATTTCATGCAGAGTTTTCTTAGAGGCATTTTCAGTTACTGTTAATGGGGTGTCTGGAAGAACAAAAGTGTGTCCTCCTTTTGCTGATACTTCTCTACTGCTGTAGAGATTGGTAAGGGTGGTGGGGGTTGATGTCTTGCCCCAGGGTCTTGCCCCAGGGTCTTGCCCCAGGGTCTTGCCCCAGGGTCTTGCCCCAGGGTCTTGCCCCAGGGTCTTGCCCCAGGGTCTTGCCCCAGGGTCTTGCCCCAGGGTCTTGCCCCAGGGTCTTGCCCCAGAGCTTCCCTGCACCAGGAGGGCAGTGCTATATCAGGCAGCCCAACAGTACCCCTGTCCCTGCACACAGAACACTAGCTGTCTTCCAGTTGTTACTAGACCTCAAATCCTTAATTTTGGTGATTCCTTTCCAGAACCACTGTTGAATGTATGAGAATGAAAGCATTCTGGACTGTATCAGTGAGTTGTGGAAAAGAGGCTCTTCTTCAGCACTTGGAAAGTATTGTCACCCCAGCACTGACATTAGATCTGTAGCTAAGAAAAAATTTCCCTTCCTGCCACATTGCCTACTCTGTTTTATTGGCCTGGTCATTATGAGTCTTTTGTAAGAAAATTACATCCATATTTTTCTGCTGTATCACTGCTGTATCCTACTACTGTTCTTTTATTTCTCTCCCTGCCACCATTGATATTTAGAGACTTGATTTTTCACTTCTCCATTGGAGGGCTTAGAAGGAAAAAGGAAGAACAAGTGAGAACAGAAGTGCAAAAAGAGGAAAACACCCAGTGTGACTTCTTCATTTGTGTTTTCCTTTGACCGAGGACACACTGTCTGACCCCCCCACGCCTGTCTGACCTCCCCGCAATGGCTGAAACCCTGGCACTGACTGACCCCCCCACGCTGTCCGACCCACCACGTCAACTAACCCCCCCATGCCGACTAACCCACCCGCACTGTCTGATGTACCCACTCTGCTCTGTGTGTTTGCTTGTACTGAGAGTTCCTCCATCCTTTTCACCTATGCACCTTTCCGACGCCTGCGCACCTGACCCATCATTTAATTTTTCACTTTCTTTTTTTCCATCCACCTGTTCACCATCTACCTGTTCCTCGCTTATCTGTTCAATACTGCTCAGTGCATTAGCCCCCACAGTGGTTTGGTCAGTGTCCTGCTCTCCGGCAGTGTCTGCCTGCTCCACACCGCGGCTCGTTCCAGCCTGCCTCTCCGCCCTGACCCCACTGGGCCCAGCTTCCTCACTATCCTGTGTTCTATGTGGGCAAACAAACTTTTGTGCCCAATGTCCCTGCATTCAAAGCACCTCATGCTCCCAGTACTGGCTTACAAGCATGTATGATTTTCCCTTGTGCCATACTCTGAATGAGATATCCAGTGTGGACTCATTCAAGAACATGAGCACTGTGCACCTGAAAGAGATGACGTGCTTCAGTGCGGGGTTTTTACAGTTTAGAGGGACCTTTCTCACACTGCTCACTATTTGCCCGAAGCGAGACAACTCCCACTCGATATCCTCGTTAGGAATAAACAGAAGAAAGTTTGACACAGAACCTTTTGTTGTTGTTGCACCCAGCGGCGTAACAGAATAAAGCTCTCCACCATTATTTCCTCTTCAATCAGCTGATGCACAAGCTCCCTGTCTTTTACAAACACCACCATGGCTTTATTCATCCATGATGCCGGCACAATGTTTTCACATCCGACACCCTCTCCTACTGCCAGTAGCACCTGCTCCACCGAGACCTCGGAGCTCAACTCACACCGCTCCCCGTGCCGGAGTGAGAGAAGACAGGCTCCACCGCTCAGGTGAGCCGCCATCCCTGCACTCCGCCAAAAGGTCAACAGCTCCCTGCGGTGACAAATAAATCTATTTTCACTGTTTGCTTGCTATTAATGTTAGTGGTCCTCCTAGTGATTGTGCTTTAAAGTTTCAACACACTAAGAAAGGTTTTCTGGATTAGAAAAAGCTCATTCGCTCTGTCACCACGCTCCACACGCCACTCTCACCCACCGACTCCCAGCATGCACCAGAGAGAGAGAGAGACTTTTTGTTACATTTGAAGATTCCTTTAATGCAGCAGTTTTGCAGATTTACATGTTTTAAAACCCCTCAGACCCTCCACCCTCCCACCCAAAAACCCAAAACTCCTTCAGTCTTAAACTGATTTCAATCCATAGATCCATATGAAAGGCCATGATCCAGTTTAAAGAGTCTTTCCTCTTGCTGACGTCCATTTTCTGAGTCTCAATCTTCTGCTTGGTGAGAGCATTTTTCGTTCTTTGCAGCATGTTGTACTGATCTTGCATTATTGGGAAGTAGCTTGAGGGTGATGCATTTGTTTGACCTTTTGTTGGTGTGTGTGTGCTGTGGTGTACAGGTCCTCAGGCTGTTTCTGTCCTCAGGTTTCTGAAGTGTCAGAAAATCTTGGCTGATCTGATGTGATCTCTCCGTGCTGCATG